CTTGAAACCCTTTTTCAAACCTGTCTCATCATTTGTTGACTGACCAGATACAGACTAAATTAAATATTGCAATGTCATTTGAATGTCAAATCATTCAAGATTGTATCACCATTACAACTTCACAGAAACTCTTTTTTTTTGTAGATAAAAAAAAACAACAACATAGTGGACATGACGTTATCATCCATCCATTATCTATACACGGCTTAGTCCTCAGTAGGGTCGCCAGGGGGCTGGAGTCTATCCCAGCTGACTTATGGTGAAGGCAGGGGACACCCTGGACAGGTCACCAGTCTATCACAGGGCTACACTTAGAGACAGACAACCAACCACTCACATTCACACCTACAGACAATTTAGAATCACCAATTAATCTCAACATGTTTTTGGACTGTGTGTGAGAAAGTTGGAGAACCCGGAGAGAACCCACGCTGCACAGGGAGAACATGCAAACTCCATGCAGAAAGATCCCGGTGACTCGACCTTCTTGCTGCGAGGCAACAGTGCTAACCACCGAGTCACCTTGCAGCACTCCTGAACATTTTTCTTAAGTTAATTTATGTCTTTCTGTCTTCCGCTAACAAAAAAGCATTTTCACCAAAACATTAGACTATTCCTTTAACTACATGAGCAAGGAGACGGAGAGAACCCATTCTGCACTGAGCATGCACTTTGCCCATCCTCAGAAACAGACACTGATTTGCTTCAGAAGTCCAAAGTGTCTCCTTAGAGTCCAGCTCAGTTTAGTTGCCTCCCACTGAAGTCCATTTAACGTGTCCATCTACGAATGTAAATCCCGCTCAGCAATGACAACTTAGAGGCGGACAGAAAGCCAGCTTAACACTGCGGATGCTGGAATGTGTGCTAAATAAGCAGTCAGTGTTTAACGGCTTCTCTACTGGCTGTGGGTGCTTATAGTAACTGGGTTATGAAGGGGGGGGTGGAGGTGGATGGGTGTGGGGTCGTGTTGCAGAGCTCTAATTGTATATCCACAGAGGCATTTAATCCCAGTGTATCTGCATTCCATTCCGGACACACGTACCTTTGACTAATTTGCACTGCATCCTGCAATTAACACCCTTTATACAGGGCTCATTTACATTCACCAATGCATCCATTAACACCGTGTTTAGTATTTAGACAACAGCACATCCATGTACAATATCACTTAAATGCATCACCTTTCAATATCAGCATTCTTCTTAAGTTGACAAGCAGAGTGCTTCCTCTCATGTTAAGTCACTCTTGTGAGCAATTTAAAAAAACTATTCGTTAGAAAGACTATATTTAAAAAAAAAAATACAGGCCCCAAAGGAGAAACTCACTGAAACAAAGCAGAGCACAACTCTGATTTCCCACTGGCCTAAATGCATCAACATGGGTGTAAAATGCTGTGTAAACACAAGAGGTTTCTCAGTTTAGGATGTATGGGCTGTGACTTTCTGCATCTCTGCATCATGGCTCCACATGGGAAACAACTGATAGAGACACTGACAAGAATCAGATTCCAAGACCTCACAAATATGAATAAAGATACAGGAAAGCCCGTGATTGATGGTCGCACTTGCAGCCATCTAACCATGAATGTCAGTAACCCCAGTGAGCATTTTAGTTGAAACACTTTACGCTCATATATCACATACAAAAAGACATAAATAACATAACTTATCATTTCAAACAACACACTCATGATTCATTTTAAATTGACACAGCAGTACAAACTGAATTTAAACTTTAAAAAAAAACAAAAAACAATAGCTCCAGTTCCATTTATGATAAAAACCAGGGCCATGAAAATAGCTTTGATTAATATTATCATATCAGAATGTTTAAAGAGGAAAATGTCTATCTATCAATCCTGTCTTCTCCACCTGATTCTACATTCATGTGCTCTTCGTTATTTCTGCCATTTAAATTCTTACAGTTTTTCCTTATGTTGAAGTAAGACTACTTTTGGTTGCATTTAATTTAAATTGTGTTATAATGATAGCAACAAATTAGGTGGATGTCGTTTTCTGAAAGGTGAAGATTCGTTTCAGAGAAAATCGTATTTTTTTTGTACTGCGCCGCAATTTCCTGATCCTTCTGCTGGCATTTGAATGCATCTGGCGCGATTAAATGACGTTGCATATGCGCCAAAATACAACATGTGGAATAGTGTAGCTGAGTTGAGCAGCCTTGTTTGGTTTATTGTGTTAGTTTGACTGACTGTCAGTGTTTAGATATTAGATGGATGACATACTTTGAAAAATCTTAAAATTTTCGTGGAATTATAAAGTGAAGGACTTTCATTGGCTGCTAAATGCCGCCAGTTAGCTTTGTGCAAAGAGCAGCGAGCAAGCTAACGGCAGCAGCGAGTTGACACAGCAGCAGCGTTAGCAGCCAGGCATCAGTCAGCTCTGCTCAAATGGCTGATGACAGCGTGAAAAGTGAGGCTTCGACCCAGCAGGAGAATGAAAACGGAGACAAGGAGAGTAGTCAGAAGGATGTGAGCAGTAACGGAGAAGCTGAAAACCAAACTCTGTCCAAGAGGCAAAGGAAGAAGCTTCTGAAGCAGCAGAAGTGGGAAGAAGACAGGGAGCTAAGGAAGTAAGTATTTTAACACTTTGCAGCGCTGGCACAGTCATTATCTTCAACTGTTTATTAATAGAACATGTTGTGGTGTTTTTGCCCTTTAAATAGAGTGTTATTTTACAGGGTTGTGCCAAACTCCATTCAAAAATCTGTCACTTTAAATGTCCCACATGGTTGAAATCCATTTTTATTGTGTTTTGTGGTTCCTATAAACTCAATGGTGTAGAATAAAAGCTGTTAAAACACTTGTGCCATTCCTCAAGCCTCCCAGCTTTACAAGCGAGTAAGAATCCGACCAAACTCATCTCATTTTTACTGTCTGAAGCTGCTTCTGCTAATCTTAAAATGTCTCAGCCATCAGCAAAGCAGACCAGTTGCTCTGCTGTTGGCTGCAAGAGTGAACAAAACACTATTCATGCACTCCCAGCATTTAAGTAACCATGATGCCATCTGACAAACTCAACATATACATGAGTTAAAGACAGTGATTGTGCTATTTCCATGTCAAACAAGTCAATAGGAATGCAAATTTTGAGCAGTTTTGAGTAGCAATAGTCAGCAGACATATGTCAATAGTGGATGAAACTGTAACATGAAATAAATTCAGTGGACATCACTCGGCGTCCTGGGTAATCATGCTAAATGCAGTCACATAACACAAGCTGATATGATATAATGATGCTGTCATAGTGCATTTCAGCTCATACAAGATGACAGCTCAGGCTGATAATTATAAAGCGTCACAGTAGACTTGCTTATGATAGCAATTTGTTGGCTAATTTCCCACAGTGCTCTCAGCTAGCCAACATGGAACTACCGGTATCTCGAGTGACCGCCTTCTATGGTGAATACAGTATTAAATAGAAGCTGTCTTGTGTCCACTACAGGCAGAGACGAAAGGAGAGGAAGCAGCAGCGTCGGCTGCAGAGGCAGGAGGACGAGGGAGGAGACGTCCAAAGTTTTAGGAAACGTCCACGCAGAGAGGTGACGCCCAGCTCTCTGAGGATGGTGGTGGACTGCAGCTTTGACAGTCTCATGCTGATCAAGGTAAACAAGTTGAGGAACAATTTGCAGAGCTGGCTCTCTGGTGCGTGCTGGGATGGACGTGGGAGATCACCACCTCTTCACCTATCATCTTGTTGCTTTTTCAGGATGTTCGGAAGCTTCACAGACAGATCCAGAGGTGCTATGCCGAGAACCGACGAGCCTTACATCCAGTGCAGGTCAGTCGCTAATTCGTCAGCTGTATCAGCGAGTATCAATACTGACTTCTTGTGTTTGCCTGGCGTATAACCTCTCCTCTCACTCCTCCAGTTTTATCTCACAAGCCTGGGAGGGCAGCTGAAACAGAGCATGGATGAAAAGGATAAAGGATGGGTGAACTGGAAGGTAAGACGCCAGAATAAGATGTTATAACACTTTTAGTATCTGCACCCAGTTTCCTGTTTTACACTGAGCTGCTAAAATACTGGAGAAGGAACAGGAAGTGTGCTAAAAAAAAATCAAGTGTGCTTATAAACAAGAGATCATTTCTTTTGTCAGTGGGGAGTGGATGAGAAAACTCCTACACGAATCCTGTCTTGATGGCTTTTGTCAAACATGTGTAATGTGTCGAAAATCTGTATAACTATATTGGTAAACAGCGCAAAATTTAATGCTTTCAAAATAAAGGCTATAAAGTTGTCACGACTTAGGAAACGGGTTTAGGTTCTGTGTGACCACATTGTTTGATGGTGTTTCACTTACTGTCCACTTTTGTTTTTAAATTCCACATCATAAGGAAAGAGACCCTGGAATATATTATCACAACTGGAAAAATGAATGGGAAGAGAGGACAAAAATCTCAACAAACTTCTGTCAGAATGCTCCTGTTGAATGTATCTAAGTAATCTGGCACNAACCTCAACATGTTTTTGGACTTGTGGGAGGAAGCCGGAGAACCCGGAGAGAACCCATGCTGCACGGGGAGAACATGCAAACTCTACACAGAAAGATCCCGGTGATCCCCTCCACCGGGACACGAACCGGCGACCTTCTAGCTGCGAGGCAACAGTGCCAACCAACTGTGCCACCTTGCAGCCCATACATAAACCAGCAGGGATCCATTTAATATTTTTGAAATCTTGCACTAATTCAGCAAACTTTCACCCAGAAGCATTTCTAATCATTCTCAGATTAGAGTTTTTTGTTGTTGTTGTTGTTTTTAATTAAAGCTTATTTTGACTTTCACTTTACTTGTGTTTTCAGTTGGTGTGTGCATGTGCAACAAAACTACTTGGGGCAGATTTAGAAAAGGATCATGGTTTTCGTTAGAATACCAGAAAACTGTTTGGGCACATAGACTGTATAAAAGATGGACGTAGCAACCGGCCCTGGAAAATGAAGCCAACCCAGAAGTGTCAAAAACCTGCAGTATCACTACGTCCGCTAGTCCTGGCTCCCATAGACTTGAATTGGAAAAGAAGTGATCACAGATCATGAAATACTGCATTCCTCCAGCTCAGGATTTTGTTTTTGTTTGTTTTCATGGTCAAGTCCAGAGATCATGTGGCCAATCTGAAAATAAATCAATACTGAATTTTAAAAAATCGCCCAAATTTTGCGGGGCAAGGGGCGTGGCTGGCTTGATTGACAGTCGGCAGCGACCATACAGACAAAGTAATGTACCAAAAGCATGTACCAATCAAAGCACCTCCAAAGTCCAAACTGATGATTTATGCACAGTTTGTCCTCATCTGTTTTAAGCACCATTTGGGTTTTTTCTTTTTTTTGTACCGAAACGTCAGCCAAGGGGTTTGACAACCCTTGGGTGGATGACAAAATAGGTATAACACATACTCTTACACGTCCTTGCAGTCTTGCAGATATGGAAAGCATGGATTGGCCTTTACAAAACATTTTTTTTTACATTTCTTGGGTGATGACTCCAGAGATTTTGCATACAGTTGTTCACATGAACAGAGGAGGTCTGTAGACTAGTTAACAAGGTAAAAATGTGGTTTTCACTCAATATCAAAAAGTGAAGTAATGTTATGGATACTCAGTGAATTCACTTCACGTGTTATTAAAAAGGACAGATCCTTTAAATATTCCTGCAGTTCAAATTACTTGATGAGCAATGAGAGATGAATGCATTGGCATGCAACACACCCTTGGTTGGTTGTTTGGTTGGTTTAGTATTGAGCAGAACTGACAACCTCCACCCACTTTTGGATGGCCAAGATATAAACCAGGAAACACAGTTTGTTTGTTGAGAGTGAAGACAGCCAGCAAAAGACAGTCAGTGGAATACACAGAGTCCACCGAGACAAGAAACAAGGAGAGACTGGGATTATCCACTGGCTTCCGGTGAAGAGTCTTCTAAGCGTCCTCTAGAAATGGCTTCTGGAATTTTTAAAGCAAAGATTGACTTTTCTTGTCCAATCTGTCAAGACATCTTCAGCGATCCTGTCGTGCTGTCATGTAGCCACAGCTTCTGTAAAGTCTGTCTGCAGCGCTGGTGGTCAGAGAAGAAGATTCATGAATGTCCAGTTTGTAAAAGAAGATCTTCAAGGAGTGACCCACCGTCCAATTTATCACTGA